AAGAAACTTTTTTCCAAAGCCTTTTAATGTTTGAGTAGTACCCTAGTTCCCAGGAATGACCTTTACACACGTCTGATTCATGCATGGTGTTTGCTTGTGGAATTCAAGGGTGAGCCTGGCTCAACTATAAAATAAACACCAGGGCCTGGAAGTCTGGAAAACGTGGCCCAGATCAGTGTGTGGTGTGGCGGCTCCCAGCAGGCCTCGGATCCTGGAACACCCCCCGCCCCTCCCCTCCAGGTTCAGATATGAGCAACCCCCCTAGTGGGAATGGGAGACTGTCTTCAGAAGGGTCTTTGTCCTGTCTGCATGTGGAGAAGGTTATTAGACCCTTTGAAAGCTCACAGCTAGACTCGAGAAAAATAGTCAATGAAAGATGCGCCAGAGGACACTTCCTCATACCTGAGGGCATTTCTGCTACTGGCGGTGCCACCGTGCTGCGCACACTCTGGCTCTCCTTGAAGTCTCCTCCTGGACTGGAGGTGTGTCCAGTCTTGTGACTAATAACCTGGGCTTCTGCCAGGGAGGGGTGTGGTCCTAGAGAGGCCACCCAAAAAGCACCTTGTTTATATGGTCAGTCTGAGAATTTATTTGCCAAAAGCCCGTCACCCATGACATGGCTGCGTGGTGGTTCCAGGACTTTTAAATTGTGATTCAGCCAGGGCAGCAGGAGGGGGGAGGAAGAGGCAGGAGAAAGTGACCCCTACTTGCCTCTCTTCCTCCCCTCTTTCCCTCATCCCCTGTGGGCAGCGCACCCCCAATGGTGCTGGTTCACAGATGCACCAAAATGTTTGTCTGAGAATGCTTACTTTCACATTGCTAATTACAGGAAAGGACACGAAGCAACCTGAGTGCTCATCAGTAGGGGACTGGTTAAATAAATTGTGGTGTGTGCTTGCAGTGAATATTATGCCACATTGGAAAACATGGATGCGGACTGTGTGTGCTGCCATGTGTGCCGAGTGGAAGAACGCACTGACAGACTGTATGGAAAGGGACAGCTGTCTTGAGAGCATCCCTCACTGTTCTGTGCTGGGGATGCCAGCCTGTGAGCTGCTCCCGGAAAGGAGGTAGAAAACCCTGGGGCTCCTCCACGTCCCTCACTTCACCTGGAATATTTCCAGTTGAAGGAAAAAAACCTCAAAAGTAGTGTTTCCGTTTTCAGCCAACATCTCTCTGCAAAACTGGATTCTTAGTAATTTTTCAAGTAAAACCTTAGAACTGGAACATAGAGAGCATTTGGTCTACTTCCTGTTACCCATAAATTAGAGAGCCCCACACCAGCCACCTTGAACCAAAAAAACAATGACGTACAGTTCATGCTCATGAAAGGAAATTTTAGAGTGTAATTTTTTTACATTAATATTTTTAAATAGAATCTTTTTTTATTTTTATGTCAATGTAAAGTTGCCAACTGCTCTTCCTTGGGAAGCACTGACTTTTACTCTGAAAGTGTGCATTTCCTACCTACTTGGTATTAAAATGTTCTTTCTCTTATTTTATGCCTCACCTGAGGACATTTTTCATTGATTTTTGGAGAGAGGGAAAGGGGCAGAGAGACGAGAGAGAGAGAGAGAGAGAGAGAATCCATGTAAGAGAGAAACATTGATCAGTTGCCTCCCTCACATGCTCCAAATGGGGATGGAACTCACAACCTAGGTATGTGCCCTGACCGGGAATCAAACCCATGACCTTTTGGTGTATGGGACGACAGTCCTACCAATTGAGCCACACCAGCCAGGGCAAAATTTCCTTTCATTTATGAAATGCTGATGATGTGTAGTTTAGGAAATATTTTTATTTGGCAAAATAAAATGCTGGCAATCTTTTATCAGTTTAATGTACTTTTAGTTCTGCTCATGTCTATCCTGTGTACTAAGCCAAAGGGCACTGAGAATATATGGCCCAAATTATTGGAATTTTGACCCTTGTTTCTGGGCACTGCCCTGTCCAGCCCAGAGGGATGTTCTAAGAGGGTGTGTTCAGCATCCTGGACCACCACTCTCATCTAAGCAAACGTGCCCACCCATTTGTTTTCTATTCCCAAGAAGCACGTGCCCTGCAGAGCTTCGGGGCTCCGTCCCCAGCAGCCAAGCCCACAGCACTGCAGGAGTTGATGGCTATTTTGCAAAGATCTAGCACTAAAACATGGTCCACTGAGGAAATGTGAATGGAGCACCTCATAGCATCAAGAGCCCCTCCTAGGCACCCTGAGAAAAGGAAGCAGTAGTTTCCTGCCCTATTGGAATCTGTAACACCACTGGATAGACAAGATAGCTACCCAGACACCCAAAGACGACAAGGGCAGGAAATTGTACACAGCAACTGTCACCGTGAGAGACACAGAAAGTATGATTTTCTCAAAGTTGGAAAATGAAGAGATATTTCTGGCTGGAGTGGTTAAGGAAGATGTGCATGGCGGTCGAGAGAATATTCTGGAGTCCAACCTCTCCCTAGCTGTGGGACTGCCCTGTGCCTGGGTCCCCTCATCTGTCAAGCGGGGGTAATAATCTTGCCTACTTCATTCAGTTGTGAAGATTAAAAGGCTAGGCACAGAGTAAGCATCATGAATATTAACCTCTGTCATCATCCCAGACAGGGTAACTGACATTTGAGAAGGAAAATGCAAGGCATGTTTAGAAAATGGAAAATCATCCCTGCTGGCTAGAGGGCAATGTTAGGGTTAATCCAAGGGCTTAACAGGAGAGGAGTTTGGAAATGCAGGGGAAAGACTTGAAAAATAGAGGAGACCGGTAGGGAGCCAGGCTTCCCGTCCCCTGCAAACTCCCCTCGCTGACCCCATTTCTCAGGTTTTCTCCACCTCCTACTGCCCAGTACTTCCCATTCATCACCACTCTGAGCCCCAGTCTTCCTCACACATCTTTTGTGGCCCTCCGGGGGGCCCATATCACTGTCTGGAGCACACAGGCTCTCCACACGGTGCCAGCAGCAGCAGCCCGTGAAATAAGCTTCGGGTGGCCCTGTGCTCAGTGAATGAACCATGCGGTATGGCAGCCAAAGGGCCAACGGGAGCTCGGTTCCCGTGACCTGACATGTGGCATCCTGTGCAAAGGAGGCGGAGCCCTTCTGGCACTGGCGCCATCACACCTGCTTTGGAAGAGGAACGGGGACCAACCCCTATGCTTAGAGACCCTGTCTTGTCCTAAGAGGATCTTGGGGAAAAGCTCATGGCAGGGGGTGAGGGTACCAGCTGTCTGCAGGTGTGTATAGTCCTGCCAGTGAAAAAGAAAGAGCTTGTACAGTCCTAGAGGGAAGGGACCAGGAGCAATCCCTGCAAACTTGAGGCAGCCAGCTGAGCCAAGGACCCGAGCACCCAGAAAGAAAACAGTCCAGACTGCAGTGAGCGGAAAATGGGCTGCGTAGATGGCGGCTGTGCCCAGGGCCAGAGGCGACCACCCTTTCTTCTGCTTCCAGTGATTGTTTAGGTGGATGTGCCCAAAACAGATCTGTGTCTGCCATGCAGGGATGTCTAAAAAGTGTAACACAGATAAAACCCATTAAAAGATAATATATGTGAGAACCCTTCCCCTGCTTGGGCTGGGCAGGCCCCAAAATGAGCCTTTTGTTTTGTTGAGAGATGATGGAGTTGCAATAAGTGGGGCTGGGTGCACAGAGGATTGGATTACCCTACTTAAGAAAGGGCTTGGGGTGACCAGGAGAAAATAACTATTCAGGAGGGAGGGAGAATCAAGAACTTGGTGGTCAGGGGCTCTCTGTGGTATTTCGAGGGTGGAATAGAATTAGAAGGGGGGATTGTGTTCACACTCTCCCCTGTAAAAAAAAGAAAAGAATTAGGAGGGGCAAGATTATTATATGACATTTATATTGGATACTTAAGGAGTTTCATTGTATGATATGCTATAAAGTCCACTCTTCTTTGTCCTTAAGAGTCATCAGAGATGCTTTTTTTAAAAACAACAACACATGGTGACACAGACTAAAAATACTGAGATACTCAGACCAAGGCAAGACCATGAAAATGCCTTTATTTAGGTTTTCCCAGAAAATGCCAGCATCACTGTCGCTGTCAGGTTCTCTCGGTTCACTTAGAAGCCAAAATGTAAGAATTATGACAATAGAAACCCCAACTGGCTGCTCAGTCTCCTGGTTCCTGCCAATGGCCAGCTTCCAAGGTATCCTCCATGGCCACCAGCACCATGGTGTCCTTTAGTCACAGGGACTCAGAGGGCAGGCCCCCCATGACAAGTGGTTCCTCCCACCCTTCCTGCAAGGAAGCATGAGTTTTAGCTACATGCCAACCTGCCCTCTCCAGCCTCACCCTGTGTGACATCAGGGCCAGCTGGGGCCATGTGACTTGCCTAGTACATTCTATTTCCTTCTGACTTTGCCTCTTTGCTGCTGTGATTTGACCTTGAGCCCATTTGGGCACTCGTCTGCCAGTCTCACCCATGTGTGGCTACTGACCCACACATGGGAGTTCCTGGAGGGACCGTCTCCCTCGCTCTCTGCTGCCTCTCGTTCTTGTGGGCACGTGGACCTAGATGGCCCAGCCTGTGACCCACCGGCTCTGTGGAATTACCAGGGAGGGGAGTCATTGGGAGTGGCACAGTGAGTCCGCCTGGCGACTTCCTGTGACTCCCTCTGCATGACACCTGCCAGGGAACAGGAGGGAGGCTGCTGGGGACCTCCTTGCCCAGAGCATTCCCACTGACAGCTCATTTCCCTCAAGTCTCTCTGCTGCTCCTTTTCTGTCCCAGATCTTCCTGCCTCTTGTTTTTGCAGAAATTACTTTTTTCTGCAAAAAAAATGCAGAAAGACTAATACCACACACACATCATTGTCTGCCTGCATTCGAAATGCTCTCAGTGTCCGTGATCTCGCCCACCTTGCCCCGCCACGGGGCTCACCACTCCTGGCTGCCCCACCGCGGGCGCGGGTGCGGGTGCAGGCGCAGGTGGCTCGGGGCCCTCTGCCCTCGCCCGCTGTAAGTAATCGCCCGCACCTTCTCCCTCCAGGGCGCCATGGAGATCGAGGCTGCAGCCTCTGCGAACACTCAGAACACAGACCCGGCGCTGGAGCCAAAGCTGAAAGTGGTCGACTGGGACAAGGTAACTGGCACAAGATGGGATGGAATGATGACTGGGGCTCCCAGGGCTGAGGAGAGGGTGTGTGGAGCCAAAGGCTGTGATTATTTGTGACGTTTGGTCAGGAAAGATGAGGCCGGGAAGCAGGTGCCCACAGCATACAAGCATGACCAAGGCTGGGATGGATGCAAGAAAACTGCACGTGAGGAGGTGTGCGCAGAGCCAGGCCCCAAACACCCAGGAGGTGTGTTCCCACGGACCCCTGAAGCTGAGAAGGACACAGTGCAGGGTCAGCAGGCCCAGACGTGCCCAGGTTGACCAGTGCACAGGCAGAGCTGCCCTGACCAGCAATCGCTTGCAAGGGTCACCTGTGTGGGCACCTGCTGGGACCGGCAGGGGCAGGGCGAACCATCTGCAGTGTTCGTCTGCAGAGCCTAACATCCTCTCTTGGGGGATTAGGCAGACCCCCTTTGTTGGTCAGGGGAGTCCTGAGTAGTCCCAGCTGGAAGTGGAGCGGCTCAGTGTCGGGAGGGTAGGGAGTGGAGAAGCAGCATGACCTGGGGGCCCTGGAGGGAACCAGACGTAGAAGCCATTTCCCTCCAAGCTGGGTCATGGGAAATGTCATTTTGCCATTTCCTCCTGGAAAAGACACAAGTGGGTTATCCATAAGTGTCCACCTGGGCTGCAAGTTCAAGGTTGCATGGAGGGTCAGGTGGGTGGAGATCAACGCCACCTAGATCTGTTCCATCATCACCTGTGCCCCCACCGGAGGGAAAGAGGGGCCTCCCCTCTTCCTCCTCCTCCAGGGCCTGCTCCTGCCTCCTTGCCAGCACATTGAGAGGGCACACCTGACTCACCTTCCCCACCTCTGTCATTCTTTCACACAACCTCTGTCTTCCTCCCATCCGGGCTGAGAGAGAGGGGCAAGGGCTGGCCCAAGAGAGGGTGTGGAGACCCACTCTAGCAAGAAGCTCCCAGCCCCACCATGGGGATTGGGGGGCTGGGAGCTCCTTTTTAAAAAATTCATCTACCACATGGTCAATCCCAGACCCTTTGGGGGAGTGGAGAGTTTGGGAGCGCCCCCAACTCCCCTTGTCTAATTCTGTTTCTGACCCAGGCCAGGGGCTTGGGTGGATCCATTGGGCCTGGACCTGGAGGAGCTATGGAAAGAGGCCAAGAGGGCTGCAGCTTTTTCTTTGCCAGGGGTCCTGTGCCTGAATGTATTTACATACCCACCCCTGGGGCAGAGGGACTTGCCAAAGGGGTGGCATTCAAGGGGACCTCCTCTGGGCCCTGCTGAGGAAGGGAGCTTTGGGCTCCCATGGCCAACCCTCCCCAGCCCTAGGAGCTGGGACAGAGTGGGCCATGCTGGAGTGAGGGGAACTGGAGTGCTGGGGCACAGGGAGAAGGTTCTGAAAAGATAGCAGAAGGGCCAGGAAACCAGCCCAGGGTGTCCCCACCCTGCTTGGGGGTACAGTATGGTCTGATTTTTGGTTTCTGCATGGAAGGTTATTGGAAGTATTTCTAAGTCATCCCTCCAATCACCCAGTCAGGCAGGACTCAGGCTTCCTTGTGGGAGGAGAATCCAGGTTGTAGACCCTCACCCTACACTACCTTACACCTCTCCCTGTTTTCTGGAACCCAGCCAGCCTGGGCACGCCCTTCCCATTTGCCTCACCCCCTCCTTTCACTGCTTCACTGTATCAGTTCCAGAGCCCTCCTCCGGCAGCCTCCTCTGCCCTGCCCCCTTGGGGGGCCAGCTTTCTGGAACCAGATGAAACTGGTGTGTTTGAAATTGTTTGCAGAAGTCCTTGCCCAGATCCCTCTGGGCAGCAAAATTAGGGCCAAATTAACATTTCTTTTATTGAGCTCTGACCAAGTGCCAGATGCTGCAGGCCAAGCATTTTAAATTTATGATCCAATTATCTAATTTAATCTTGCCACTACACACAGATATAAGATTATCAGATCCTGATTTAGCAAAGAGGAAGAAGAAGAGTTTAGTCTCTTGCCCAGAGTCACTCTGCTGGTCCCCTTAGCGCAGCCAGCGCTTACCACTGAGCTCCCTCCCCTGCCGGGCACCCCTCCATGCTCCTGGAACCCCCCCACCCTTGAGTCCTGTGACTGGGAGAGGCCATGGTGTAAGGGAGGGAGGAAGCTGAGCAGGTCCCGGGAGGGAGGTGTCTCCAAAGCATTGCTCAGCCTTATTCCCATCCTGCCCCTCAGGCTGAGCCAGACCCCAGCAGAACCCACTCTAGCTCCACTGGGTGGAGGCCAGTCTCTTCCCTTAAGAGACAGGTAGGATTATCCAGCCAGGTGTGTCACAAAGCAAATGCAGCTGCGAGCTTTCAAAGCCCCCTTGCCACCTACATACNACCTTCCCCACCTCTGTCATTCTTTCACACAACCTCTGTCTTCCTCCCATCCGGGCTGAGAGAGAGGGGCAAGGGCTGGCCCAAGAGAGGGTGTGGAGACCCACTCTAGCAAGAAGCTCCCAGCCCCACCATGGGGATTGGGGGGCTGGGAGCTCCTTTTTAAAAAATTCATCTACCACATGGTCAATCCCAGACCCTTTGGGGGAGTGGAGAGTTTGGGAGCGCCCCCAACTCCCCTTGTCTAATTCTGTTTCTGACCCAGGCCAGGGGCTTGGGTGGATCCATTGGGCCTGGACCTGGAGGAGCTATGGAAAGAGGCCAAGAGGGCTGCAGCTTTTTCTTTGCCAGGGGTCCTGTGCCTGAATGTATTTACATACCCACCCCTGGGGCAGAGGGACTTGCCAAAGTTAACCCTTTGTGTTTTGCATTCAAGGGGACCTCCTCTGGGCCCTGCTGAGGAAGGGAGCTTTGGGCTCCCATGGCCAACCCTCCCCAGCCCTAGGAGCTGGGACAGAGTGGGCCATGCTGGAGTGAGGGGAACTGGAGTGCTGGGGCACAGGGAGAAGGTTCTGAAAAGATAGCAGAAGGGCCAGGAAACCAGCCCAGGGTGTCCCCACCCTGCTTGGGGGTATAGTATGGTCTGATTTTTGGTTTCTGCATGGAAGGTTATTGGAAGTATTTCTAAGTCATCCCTCCAATCACCCAGTCAGGCAGGACTCAGGCTTCCTTGTGGGAGGAGAATCCAGGTTGTAGACCCTCACCCTACACTACCTTACACCTCTCCCTGTTTTCTGGAACCCAGCCAGCCTGGGCACGCCCTTCCCATTTGCCTCACCCCCTCCTTTCACTGCTTCACTGTATCAGTTCCAGAGCCCTCCTCCGGCAGCCTCCTCTGCCCTGCCCACTTTGGGGGCCAGCTTTCTGGAACCAGATGAAACTGGTGTGTTTGAAATTGTTTGCAGAAGTCCTTGCCCAGATCCCTCTGGGCAGCAAAATTAGGGCCAAATTAACATTTCTTTTATTGAGCTCTGACCAAGTGCCAGATGCTGCAGGCCAAGCATTTTAAATTTATGATCCAATTATCTAATTTAATCTTGCCACTACACACAGATATAAGATTATCAGATCCTGATTTAGCAAAGAGGAAGAAGAAGAGTTTAGTCTCTTGCCCAGAGTCACTCTGCTGGTCCCCTTAGCGCAGCCAGCGCTTACCACTGAGCTCCCTCCCCTGCCGGGCACCCCTCCATGCTCCTGGAACCCCCCCACCCTTGAGTCCTGTGACTGGGAGAGGCCATGGTGTAAGGGAGGGAGGAAGCTGAGCAGGTCCCGGGAGGGAGGTGTCTCCAAAGCATTGCTCAGCCTTATTCCCATCCTGCCCCTCAGGCTGAGCCAGACCCCAGCAGAACCCACTCTAGCTCCACAGGGTGGAGGCCAGTCTCTTCCCCTGCGAGCTTTCAAAGCCCCCTTGCCACCTACATACACACACACACACTCCTTAGCATTGGGCTGCTCTGAGGGTCGCTAGGGCTGGCCAGATGTTGATGTTGGTCACATGGGTTTAACCTTTTGGAACCCTCAGTTAAGTCACTTCTCAGGAAAATAGCCCTTGGATCTGAACAAAGGCCCTCTTGGCCAGCCCACCACTGGGGAGGCCAACCTCAACCCTGTGGGTGCAGCCCTGGCTCACCTTCCAGCTTTCTGCACCTCCACTCACATCCTGTTGTGTCCCCTTGGGCCTCCTATCTCCCTTTCACCTGCCCCAGAGTAGGGGCCTGGAGGGTCTGGCTGTCCAGAGGGATCCACAGGCACCTCCCCAAGACTGTCCTTGCTGGGCCAGGGTCTCGAGTTTCTCTCTGCTTGCCCCCTTGCCCAGAGACCCTGGCCCTCTTCTGAAGAACTCAGGAGTACTCAGAAAATACCCACCCCACCTTCCTCTTCCTCAGGGAGAAACCAAGTAGGTGGCTGGGTGCGGCCCTCTGTGTCCTGCCAGCACAGTGGATAGGCAGGCTCAAGTTGGGAGAACCGCTGGGCGACCATAGGCAGCTATGTTCTCTTTCCCCCTCAGCAAGAGGGAGGAAGTTATTCCCACCTGGTACGGTGTGGGGTTGTCAGGAGGGTCCGGCATAGTGTACAAAGGGGTATCAGAAAGCGAGCTACCAGTGGAAGACCCATCGGCTTCGCTTTAGGATGGGGGGCAGGCTGGGGGGAGCGGGACAACAACAGAGCTCCTTTGCTGTTCTTCTGTCCCAAGCACACTGGCGTTCTGCAAGGTGCATGGCAATCCTCCCTCTGTTCCCAGGCTTTGACCCCTTTTCCCCCTGCTCCCGGCCACTCTCATCTCCCTGAATCCTCTCAGGGGGAGCCTGAGGCCACCTCCCCAGCTACCCCATCACCTGGGTACAGGAAGGAGGCAGGTGGTCCAGAAGTGCCTCTGTGGACTTGAGTGTAGGATAGGAGCTCCCAGTTAGAGGAGCCACCCCGCAAGGCCACCAAGAGCCCCTCATGGACCCCCACACTAAACACCCCTGCTGGGTCCCTCACAGCCTCTGTGCTGACAGACTCACAGCCATAGGGCCCTGAACCAGCAGATAGGCCTGCTGGCCTTGGGTTAAGATGGACTGAGGTGCAGGTCCCACCTCTAGCATCTACAGCTGAGCGTCAGATCTCAGTCTCCTCATCTGTAAAATGAGGCCATTGCAGGCCCTAGTTCTCAAAAAAGGATAATGGACGTGAGGTCTGAGCCCAGGGACTGTGACCAGGATGCAAGAACAACATGTTCTGAGATTCCTATCGAGCCTTATCCTCACTCTCCTCCCTACCAACCCCCACTGGTTGGAAGCCCATCACAGTCTTCCTGGCTCAGAAAGCTGCCCCAGAGCTGTGAGCTCTGTGGTCTGGGTGGACATTTCTTTAAACAATTGCCATGGCTTGCGAATGTGGTTGTGGGAGGAGCTGCTGGCACAAAGTAGCTGCCCCCTCTCCCTACATTTGCCCTTCTGGAGAGAAGCAGATACCCAGTTTCTGCTCCTGAGCTGGGGCTGCCCCTGGAAAGAGTTCTGTGCCACCTGGTTCCTGTGCTGCCCAGGAGGAGGGAGACCTGGGAAGTGGGGAAAGGGGAGAGCAAAGAAGGCCCCCTCCCCAGCCTGGCAGTATGCATGCCCTTCCACCCACCCTCTGGGCAGCAGGCAGCAGGCTGCCCTTTCCCCCTGCCTGGCCCTGCTGGAGCTGCATTCCTCGCATAGCCCGGAGAGCCCAAGGCCCCCCCTTTCCCATTGGGGCAGGGGCAGAGCTGGGTGGGGGAGGAGGGAGGGGAGGGGGAGGAAATACACACAGTTGGCACTAGGTGCTGTAGCCAAACTCTCCCTGGACTTGGCATGTGCGTTTTGGGGACCAGCCTGTTGCTTGGGGTGACACCCCTGTGCTATAGCTGTAAACATTCATTGTCTAAGGGAGTTAATTTGAAGTATACAAATGAAAAGCAGGCATAGAATGTCATGTGTAACATGCAAAAGTAGAACATATGAAAACCAGGGTTTTCATTTGAGGAAGATAGTGATACATTAAGGATGCATATTATCATCCTTAGAGTAACAACTGGGGTGGGGGGACAAAAGGGCACAGTGAACAAAATAGAAGAGATAATATAGAATATTTTTGAAATACATAATTAATACAAACAAGGCCAAAAAGGAAAAATAGAGGAGACAAACAGAAAACAAATAGCAAGATGATGGGACTACTGCAACATTAAATAAAAATGGACTAAACACTTCAACTAAAAGGCAGAGATTGACTAGATTAAAAAAAAAAAAGCAAGACCAACTATGTGCTGTCTACAAGAGATGCACTTTAAATGTAAAGATGTACACCGTTTGAAAGTAAAAGATGGGAAAAGATAGACCATGCAAATGCCAAGCATAAGGAAGCCTGGTGTGGCTTTATTAAGATTCAGCACAAGTAGTATTACCAGGGACCAAGATGGCTATTTCCCAATGCCAAAAGGGCCAATTTATCAAAAAGACATAACTGGGTAACCTTGGGCAAGTTACTCTGCTTCAATTTCCCCATCTGCAAGATGACACTAATAATAGTACTTGGCTCGTTAGGGGCATGGTGAAGTTCAGATGATTACGTGTTTGGAACCATGCCTGCGTGTAACAAATGCTCTGTGAGTGTTGGCTCTCAATGGTGTTGCAATTGGGGCAAAGCCTAAAGCTCTTACCATGACCCTGGCCTAGCTTCTTTTGAGGTGGGGCTCTGTAGACTGTGTAAGATAAGGTGTAAACACAGGGCAATAGCTGGTTCCTCCAGTTTTTTTTTCCCCCCTGGTGGTGGTGGTGCGGTGTGTGTGTGTGTGTGTGTGTGTGTGTGTGTGTGTAGAGAGACCTCAGGCAGAGGAATGGAAGGAATGAGAGCGCATGCACCCAGTGAATCCATTTCCTGCTAGACCCAAGGGGAAAAGTCAAGGAGAGGTGGGGACTGGAGGAAGTCAAACAACTAAATGGGGTTTGGATGATTGCCTTATTTAATTGGATATTTAGCTGAATGGGATGCTTCCAGGCTGACCAGAGTCATCTTCCAGTCTGGGAAGCAGGAAGACAGCCAGCACCTGGGGACTGTCAAGTTCGCATAACAGGAAATCACAACCATCTTTGGACCTTTTTCCCTGGTTGCAGGCACAGGGAGACTGCTCAGTGGGCCCTGTTTACCCAGGACTGCTCTGTCCTTGCTCCAAGGCTGTGATGGCTGTGTTAGCTTTGCCTCCAGCAGAGCTGGGAGACCTGCTGGGACTGAGCCAGCTTTGGTGGGGAGGCCTATGCAAGATGAGATTCCAGCCATGGATGCAGGAAGGCAGGTTTCAAAATCACTGTTGACTCTCTCCCAGGCTTGAGTGCTCTTCCTCCATGTATATCTCTTTCTCCTCTCCTTTTCTTTCCTGATACTACCTCCCTTCTCACCAGCAGTAGCTACCTAACTCCCTTGTATTGGAGATTTATTGGCATCCACTATGCGCCAAACACCAGACACATCTTGCCCTCTCTCTTATGGGTGGTGGCACATCAGCTCTATAGATGAGAGAACTGAGGCGCTCCGAGAGGTAAAGGCACTTGCCTAGCATCCCACGGCTGATAAATGGCAGAGCCAGGCTTTGAAGGTGGTCCCTCACTACAACGTCATTGTCCTTTACTGGTTTTGATTTACTGATTTTGGTCCAGATTACTCTTCTTCAGTACATTGACTCATCAGAAATCTTTAAGGGTTTTCCATTGCCTAGAGCTGCGGCTTCCAAACTTTTCAATCTTACACCCCCATAAGTAAAACATTTAGAGCACATTATATTTCCATTTTAATTATTTATAAATTATTTGCATGTACTACTGTATTATGTGCATGTGAAAATATTGAAATACAGTTTAAAAATGATATAACCATATCAAATAGAGTCTCTAATATTCTCTCCATGCCTCTGAGGATCAACCTGTGAGTAGCCCTGGTGTGTGCACACATCCCCACCTTGGAGACAACTGGCCTGGAGGGTGAAGTAGCAGCTCCTGGGCCTGGTGTGGGGTATTCTGTCATCTAAAATCCTCTGCCTCACAGATCAATGTCAAGGTACTAAAGGGGCCACAATCATTGTCAACTCCACATCTCTGCCTACATTCCCTCCCCCACTTTTCCCTCTCCCCCTTACCAAGTCCTCCATGTTGTGTGAGCTCCAACCCAAACCCCAAGTTCTCTGCAAAGCCCTTTTCTTCTACCCTGGACCCAGGCATTTGTAGCAGTCATTCTGCCTTCCAATCTCAGCGTGCCTATATCCATACTAAACTGTCTCTCCTCGCATGCCTCATCTTGCTGACCACTTTATGCTGGTACCATCATTATTACTTCCATTTCATAGCTGGAGAAACTGAGGCTCAGAGATATCAAGTAATCTGCCCAAGGTCACACAGTAAGTGATAGAGCCAGGATTTGTACCCAGGCCTGACTTCAGAGACTGAACTCTGATTAAGCACTAAGCTATGTGGATCAAAGATGACCTCTCACATTCCTGTTTATTCTTCCCATTGTCTAGTACAGAAATGGATATATGAAATATGAAGCACATTTTTGAATGAATGGCTATTTAAATGGATGAGTGAATGCATTGCCCAGACCAACACCAAGGAGAAAGCGTATGGTAGAGGAGAAAGGACCTATTTCATTCCTAGTACAGAATGTATTGGCTCCTGTACTTAAAGAGTCCTGGACATGACTTCAAGCTTCAGGCATGGCTGAATCTGGGTGCTCAGGTGTCATCACCTGGATTCAGTGATTGGCCACCCTCTGTATTGACTGAGTTCTCAGGCAGGCTCTGCTAGCAACTCCAGGGTCATGCCCCGCCAACTTAGCAACTCCAGCAGGAAGAGAGGGTGTCTGATGGCTTATTGCACCAGCTTAGGTTATGAGCCTGTCCTGGATCCCATTTCTGTGTCCAGGAGTTGAGATGAGCAGCTTGATCAGTCCTGAATCACTGAAGTGATAGGGTAGGTAGCCCCACACAGACCACATGAGGTAGAGGATGGTGACTGGGATACTATAACTAGGAGACAGAAGAATGAATGTGTGCAGGTGTGAATATCAAGTGTCCACTGAATTTGTCTTTTGCAGGACCTGGTAGACTGGCAGAAGCCCCTACTGTGGCAGGTAGGCCACTTGGGAGAGAAGTATGATGAGTGGGTCCACCAGCCAGTGAGCAGGCCCATCCGCCTCTTCTACTCAGACTTCATCGAGGCCCTCACCAAGACTGTCTGGTGAGCCCCACGCTGAGCCCATGGTGGGCTGTCCCTCTCTCCTGATGGTATCAGTCAGATACAATAGGGGAAGGGGCATTTGGCTGCCCCCATCCCCCAGCCCAGAGCTATATACTATAAACTCTTGGGGACAGTAGAACATGCCATAGGTATAATCCATTCCTATGCATGGTTTGTTCATTGAGTGAGTGACACCCCAACATATAGCCAGAAACCACTCTGAATGCCACCCCTATTCTATTCCAGATTCCTATGAAGGGTTTCCAGCCTCTAATGTCCATGGGAACAATTTTGCCTGCAATTAGCTCCTTTGCCACAAGAGGTCAGCATCTATTCAGCTGCACAGACTAGCCACAGGGACACAGTTCTTTTCTGCCAATAACTCATCTCAGAGACCCGGGCAGATAGACTCATGACCTTTCTTTTGTTTTCCCCTTCCCACCCCACCCCCAGCAGTGTCCCTTTGATCCAAGGTCTCCATATACTTTCTGCACATGCTTTGGTATCATGTCATCCCTCCTCCAGTCAAGATGTATGCCTGGGGAAACTGGACCCCGTTGAGTCCCTGGGCATGTATATCTCTCACCCTGGTGGCCCTCCTGCAGGTACAGCGTCCCCATCATCTGGCTGCCCCTGATGCTGTACCTCAGCTGGTCCTACTACCGAACCCTCGCCCAGGGCAACGTCCGACTCTTCGCTTCCTTTACCACAGGTAATATTGGTTCCTTCCTGATTCGCTCCCATGGCTCCTGGAGGTGGGAGACCTTGATGTTCTTTCTGACAGTGAGAGAACAGAACCCAAAATCATATCACAAACTTTTTAAATGAGACCTATTTGTAGAAATAGTCTTCCAAAGAAAAATATAGTCAGACTCCCTCAACCCCAACCCCAACCCTAAATAGATTACAAAGAAGAAGGGGGGAGCAACATATTAGCAGAAACTAAATGAAACCATTTTGTTAGGAGACATAACAATAAAGAAAGAGGCTTGTCACTGACTCTACTACTAGAAAAGGCATGATCTGGGATTGTCAAGAAACTAAATGAAATCATTCACCAGGTGGTACAGCTGAGAGCTAGATTCAGAATGGTCCATGAACACGGCAAAATCAGAACCTGGAAGAGAAAGATCTGGGAGTGTCCTGCAGTGTCTCCTGGGTAAAGGTCCAGGTAGCAGAACCCCTGACTCGGAGAAACAACCCCACTAACCTCTACTGAGCACTTACCTTGTGCCAAGCCTGATGCCTTCCAGGGACCATCTCAGTTAACTCTCCCAACAGCCCCACAGAAAAGGTGCTATCCTAATGCCCTTTTCGAGATGAGGAAATGGAGCCTCAGAGAAGTCAAGCAAGCAATTCAGGGTCATGTGGCTGGGATGTAGATGCCAAGTGCCTCCCAGTTTCAAGGATCAGGGGATAGAGAGAAGGGCTGACATGGGGCAGCTTCCGAAGAGCCTATGGGGCTGAGTCTCAGGACAGCTGTGAGTTTGGGTGCAGCCACTTCTGTCAGCCTGCCTCCAAAGTTCACTGCCTAGCTTGGGCCTCCAGGTACATACTGTCTGCCCAGGTGGTCTGTTTGTCCTAGCACAGTCTGCCTCAGGAGGCACTGACCCATGACAGGTGGCTCAGATGGAGGCCAGGTCAGGGGGCAGGCAGGAGAGGGGTGCTGGGGTAGCTCAGGTGGGCTTTCCTTTCCCGATCACACAATGTTCCTGCTCTGAACCTTTGGAGCGCCTCCTCTCTGCCGGATACAGGCTCCTTCTCCCCACACTCTGAGGCTTCTCTCCTGCCCACCTGTCCTGGGAGTGGCAAGGTGAGGACCTGAATGGTTTAGATGAGAGGGACCACAGCCACAGTGATGGGAGCCTCTGTGTCCCCCTCCACACACCTGGCCCAGGATGTGGCGGGGTTGGGGGTTGGTGAACAAGCTGCGGGAAGTTCCCCAGAGCCCAGAACTGCTCCAGGTCACCAAGGGTTAACATGCATGCCCTGCAAGCCAAGGTTACCCTTTTCGGCCCACGCTGAATAGCTCAGGCACAGCACAGGGCTTGTTGCTCAGAAGGCCTGCTCACTGAATCGCCCACTGTCCACCCGGCGCTCCTCTAACAATCAGCAACAGTGGCAGTGCTGCCAGGGCTGGCGGCCGGTGGGGGAAGGGGCTGCGGGAGCTTTGGCCCAGGTCCCTCTGCAGGATTCCTCTAGAGATGCCACTCTGTACCAGCTCCCAGCGGATGTTCCAACAGGGATGATGCTGGGGTGAGGGAGCAAGAGGAGACTTGACCTATAGGAGGGGGCCCTTCTGCGTGGCAGGGAGGGTGATCTGAGGGCTTGGTCAGAAGTGCAGGCCTCTGCAGAGAGCCAAGATGTGCTGTTTAATAAAGGTCCAGTGAAGAGCCTGTGGCCATGATGCTAGCAATGGTGGCATGAGAGATATATCTCCACAGGCCTCCCTCACCTCCCAGCTTGTCAGGCAAGGCAGAGAAAATAAGAGCCTCCGAGCAAGGCAAGGGGAGGCTGAGCAGGTCAGCCTGCGGACTGAAGGGTCCCAGGTTCGATTCTGACCAAGGGCACACACCTCAGTTGTAGGCTTGATCCCCTGGGGGCTGGGGGCATGCAGGAGGCAATCAATCAATGTGTCTTTCTCACAGTAATGTTTCTCTCTCTCTCTCTCCTCCTTCCACTCTCTCTGAAAAAGCAATGGAAAAAATATGCTCGGGTAAGGATTATAAATAAGTAAATAATAAAAAGAACTATAAATTAAAAAAGAAAAAGAAATGAGAGCCCCAGGGACTGCAGGCTGTCATTGATGTGAGGGAGAAATTGCAGGCTGTTGGGTGTTGGGTGTTGGGAACCTCACACTTGATGACAATTACATCTCCAGTCTTCTGGTCTCCAGGCTAATCATCTTCAGTTTTGTGTTTTTTTCAAATCTTCCTCAGATATGCTATGATTTCAAGTCTTGTCCATTGAGATTTCTCTACATGTGTTTTCCTGTCCCTTCTGTTTTCCAGTCCTTGGTTGTTAACATTTTTCATCAATGACTGCCCAGCTTTAATGTCTTAATTGGGATCGTTCCTCCCTCTCCCCCATGCCACTGAGGCAAGCTCACCCTTCTCAGGTGTCTTAGCCATTTGGACTGCTATAGCATAAAACATCAAAGACTGGGTGATTTAAAGGCAACAGAAATCTGTTGCTCCCAGATCTAGAAGCTGGAAGTTCAGATCAGTGCCAGTCTGGTCAGGGAAGGGTGCTCTTCCAAGTCACAGACTTCTTGTGTCCTCACATGGGTGTAAAGGAAAGGGAGCTCTGTGGGATTTACTTACTTACTTATTTATTTATTTATAATCCTCAACCCAGGACATGCTTAGAGAGAGGAAGGGAGAGAGAGAGAAACATTGATGTGAGAGAGAAACATCAGTTGGTTGCCTTCCATACGTGGTCTGACCAGGGATCGAACCCACAACCCAGGTATGTGCCCTGCCTGGGAATCACACTGGCAGCCTTTCAATGCACAGTGGATGCTCACCCAGCTGGGCCACCCAGCTAGGCCATGGGCCCTCTTATAAGGGCACTAATCCTATTCATGAGGGCTCTACCCTCCTGAGGTAATCACCTCCCAAAGGCCCCATCTCTTAATACCATCACCTTGGGGGTTAGCTTTCAACATAAGAATTTTGAAGAGACACATTCAGACCATAGCACCCGGCAAAGGTCCATTACTGGCCATAACTGCTCCTCTTAGTCCCCCTAAGGAAACCTCAGGTCTCTGGCCAGCAACCCCATTGTTCCCTGAGAGCACCCCTCCAAGCCCAGCACAGGTCCTCACCACCTCCTTCCCATTTTTGACCCAAGAGCCCCAGCAGTATGGCCCGGCCCCATAGCTGCTGGACAGAGGGCGGCAGATCCCAAGGTGATGGGGCAGTAAGATGGACGTCTGGAGCCACCAGGCACTGCTGCCCACTGGGCCATCCGCCCTGACCTTGCCTCTCTCTTGCAACCCTGCAGAGTACTCCGTGGCCATGCCGAAGTCCGTGTTCCCGGGCCTGTTCGTGCTGGGGATGCTCCTCTGGAGCCTAACAGAGTACCTCCTCCACCGCTTCCTGTTCCACATGAAGCCCCCCAGCAACAGCTATTACCTCATCACGCTGCACTTCATCCTGCACGGCCAGCACCACAAGGTGAGCGGGGGGGCTCCCACCCAGGGCCTTGCAGCTCTGACTGACTCACAGGAGCTGCCGACCTTCACGGGAGTCAGGCTGGGAACAAGAGGAAATCAGGGCATTTGATGTTGCTCAGAGGAAGGACTGGGTCCTAACCTGAAGCGGGCGTGGACAGAGTGAGCATGTGTGTCTGTATGCCATAATTATTGACACCGGGCACTCTGCAGGTACCTTTCATGTGCCATCTTTAATCCTCACAACAACTCATTCATTCATTCAACAAATGCTCACTGAGCCCTCCCTCTGTGCCAGGCACTGTTCTAGACACCATTGAAGGAGAGTCAAAAATCACTGCCCTTGTGGAGCTTCTTTCTGAAGGTGGTGCTGTAGTTCTTCCCATTCCACAGAGCAGCAAACTGGGGCTTGGGGAAATTAAGAAACTAAGGAACTCACCCAAGGTCATAACCAGGATCTTGTGCCTCATTCTGTGGATCCCAGAGTCTTTGCTCTCAACCACCCATCACCCTTGGGCTTTTCAAGGGGAATGTGACGGTTCCAGTGGCAGAGACTAGAAGCCAGGTCTGCCCAGAGGAAGCTGCATCCCACTGTTCCTACACTATGCTGTTCTCAGCCTTTCTCAGGATATCCCTCCCTCCCTGCAGGAGCTGGCTTTCCAGCATACTAGTGGTCCTGTTGCTCGTGGTCTGAGCAGGGAGAAGCCCTCATCGGCATATGACTCTATGACTACTGCCTGTTTTCTCTCTTTTCTTCCAGTCCAGAGAGGGTCTGTCTCTTCTCAGAATCCTCAGCAAGCAGTCACTAAAATCTTACCTCTTTGCCTTTGGCTTTTAAAGCCCCAGAGCCTAAGGCCTATTTCTCTTGTTGTTTAATGTGATAATACCCCCTTGGAACAAAGAAGGGCCCCTGTTAGGACGGGGTGGGGGGGTATGTTAACACTTCCAGTATCATCCTACCATGTGAATCTGCATAACACCAGTTTGCTGGTGTGTTGCCTTCCCAGACAATGGCAGGTCCTGGTCTAAGTACCCCACCTGGTCACCGGAGTTAGGGCTTCTCTCTAGCACCTAACGAATTCCAGAGCCAAAGTGGCCTCTTGAGCATAAAGCAGGACTTGAAACCCTGAACATCCTGCCCACATCACACCCACCCCTGTGTTCTTGCACAGTGTTCCAGGCCCTATCCTGGCTTGGAAACTGGGAACAGGACAGTCTCTCTAGGGCTTTCTAGCATGGAGGCCTGCCCTCCCCAAAGCCACTGAAAGTGCCAAGCCTACACATGATAAGTCGCTGCCCCCTCCCTGGGATATCTGGGCTGCTTTGCCCCATGCTGGGATGGGTGGGGGTGGGGAATGTCTCTGCTGTGACTTAGGCAGGCCCCCCTGCTGCATTCTGACACCTGAGCCTCTCCACCCACAGGCACCCTTCGATGAGTCCCGCCTGGTCTTCCCCCCTGCGCCAGCTTCTCTGGTGATTGCCTTCTTCTACACAATCTTACAGCTCCTCCTGCCCGAGGCGGTGGGGGGCACGGTGTTTGCAGGGGGCCTTCTGGGCTATGTCCTCTACGACATGACCCATTACTACTTGCACTTCGGCTCGCCTCACAAGGGCTCCTACCTGTACAACATGAAGGCCCACCACGTCAAGCATCACTTTGCACATCAGAAGTCAGGTAAGGATCGGCCAGTACCTCCATTGAGCCCCTACCAAGGGCCATGCACTGTCCTGGGTATTGGGGATACACAGACAGAAGGCAAGCCTGGGGCTCCCATCCTACTCTCTGGTGTGGGGGACTGTGCAGAGACAAACAAGGAAATCAATCAATAGTAAAAGATCATTTCAGACAATGATAAGTGCCACAAAGAAAATAAAGCAAGATGATGTTAGAGGGACCATATACGTCAGGGGAGGGGTCCAGCTCTGTCTAATAAAATATGCAAGTCACAGATTGATTTTTAAATTTTCTAGTGGCCACATTAGCCAGTAAAAATAAATGGATGGAATTAATTGCAATAGCATATTTTATTAAGCCAAATATAACCAAAATATTATCATGTTAACATATAATCAATGTAAAATATCGTTAATGAGACATTTTACATTCTTTTTCTTATATTAAGAATTCCGCATCCGGTGTATATTTGGCACTTACAGCACATCTCAATTCAGGTGTTAAATTTTCATTGGAAATATTTAATATGCATTTAGAATTTATAAAATTTATATTTAAAAAAGGAAAAGTAGATTCACATACCCAAATTGCTCTGAATATACTTGAAAGATTTCTAGTAACTGAATTGAGTATATACTTTTTAATTGAATTTTAAGTTAATTAAAATTAAATGAAATTAGAAGTTTAGTCCCTCTGTAGCTCTAGCTACATTTCCAGTGCTTAAAAGTCATGTGGGCTAGCGGCTACCACGCTGGATGGCAGAGCGCTAGGTAAAGTGGTCCAGGAAGATGTCACTGCAGAGATGTCGTTAGAGCTGAGACCTAAATTAAGAGAAGCCAGCACCTGATGTCTGGGGAGAGAGCATCTCAGGAGCAACAGGTGCAAAGCCTTGAAGCGGGAACGAACTTGGCCTCTTTGAAGAGAAGGAAGAGGCAGGCAGGGGCCAGGCTCTCCCAGGAAGTCCTGCCAGATAAAGAATTTGGGTTTATTCCAATGTATCCTTGGGAAATTGGAAACACAGGTACCCTGCTCTTGACTTCTGCCATGATGGCCCTGAGAGTTGGGAAGGCCAGCGGGAATAGATGTTAAAATCTTCCCAAGTATTGGCCCTACCCCGGCTCCCTTTCCAAGAAGATTTCTCCACCCCCCCCGGACAGCGCCTCACCTTCTCCCTATTCGTCTCCCTCTCTAGGATTTGGCATCAGCACTAAATTTTGGGATTACGTTTTCCACACTCTTATGCCGGAAGAACCCCACCCGAAGATCCAATGACAACTCCCAGCTCCACTGTGGTCCCTGCCCCACCCCTACCCCATCCAGACCCTGCAAAGAAGGTTTGCTTGGCCAAGCAGGATGGGCTTTGTCCAGCTATTGGGCTTGGTGAAGGGTGCTGGGGAGACCCTAAAGACTGAGACTGGCCCTGAGACTTCCCTCCTGACCCACCAGAGGAGGGCCACATCCACTTGGTGGCCGAATAGCTCTCAGGGACTAGCTCTTCCCTGCAGCATCCTGGCCTTTCCACCAACATCTCTTCCCAGAGTCTTAGCCCACAGGACTGCTTTAGGATCTGGCCAACGTTATCAGCCCCAAGGGGAATGAAGGAAACGGACCCCTGTGACTTCCTGACAGGTGTGTGATCCGCCTGTGTCTTAGCACCTCGGGCTCCCTGGGAGCCAACCCCACAGCAAAGAGTGGGGTCTGCGGGGCCCCTGGCCCTAGTCTTCCCACCTCCCTTTCCTGGTGACGGCTTCCTGGCTCTGACTTTCTCCTGATGAGCGGAGAACACTGAGGTGGGTGGAGGGCTCTTACAAGAAGAGATAGCATGATGCCTCCCGCAGACCATCCCAGATCCCAGGGCAGTGCCTCTGCCCACTGCCGGTCACAAATGCCAGCTGTACCACCAGATGCCTCAGGCTGAGACACATGCCTGGCCCTCACCTGCTTGTGCAGATGGGCTGAGGCTAGCTGGCATTGGCTTCAAGGCTGGCAGGAGCCCAGGCCCCCTTTTTTTTAGGAACCACCAGCTGCTCTAGCCATCTCTTCCCTGCCTCCAGAATCACAAAGCTTTTCTCCGAGGGAGGCTAACGTGGCTTCTCTATGGGTTGGAGCCCCACCCCATTTCCAGCCATTCTTGACCTCCACCTGGCACAGGTGGGCCCCTGCCCCCCTCACTCAGGACCCTTCCAGCCAGTGCCTCCTTAGGCCAAGATGAGGCCTTTATTCGGTGCCTTATCTCCCTCACCATTTGCTCCCTACCCCCCCCCACCAGCAGATGAGGTTCCAGCCCCTTCTTCCTCATAACCAAAACCCTCACTGCTCATAAGAGGGTCTTATTTATAAACTATATAAACGCTCGAGTAGCTGCTCAGATTGCCCTTTCTAATCCTATGTGTTGAGCTTATGTAAACCTTTTGTCCTATTTCTGTTCCCTTCTTACCCACAAACCGTTACTACTTGAAACTTTTAAAAAAAACTCGATGAGCATAAAGGCTGAAGAGAAGCAGTGTGAGCGCTCCTGTGATTTGTACTGTTTACTGCGGAGTTATTTAAAGATTTTGGAATAAATATACAAACTACAGTTGTGAAATACAGGTGTAAATAAATTGTATATTTTGAAAAATAAAAACATTTAAAAAGAAACCAACAGAGAGTAGTTGCTCCTTACGGATGCTGACTCGCCAGACTTCACCATGCGGGGTGCAGGATGGGGTGGGCGTCCCCCGGGAGGAGGGTTTATCGCCAGCCCGTTGCGGAGACCTGCTGGGGCACGGTGACAATAAAACCCTGAGCAACTCTCATTTCCTGACTTGGTTTTATTACTGTTTTAAAATTCTCTGCAGACAGCAATCCCCGTTACTGCCTGCACGTGGGGCAAAGGGGTGGGGGGTGGGGGTGTCGCTCCCACCAACCCCCGTGGCACACTGCTGGGGAGACGTTTCCTCTGGAATTTATCAGACCCCAACTGAGATTCCAGCCGAGATTCCAGCCGAGATTCCAGCTGACTTTCCTAACACAGCGGAGGAAGAGTCTAACAGCAAACACCCGCGGGGAGACCTCGAACATCAGGCCAGCTCTCAGTCCAGGCGAAACAGCTTCTCAGGACGTCTTCGCAGCCACCACGCCAGAACCACCTGAGGAATCTGTCAAAGCACAGACCCAAGTCTGCGACACTCAGGGTCTAGTTCGGCAGGCCCGTTGGAGGAGGACTCTGGATTTGCCTACCTGAGGATGCAGAAGCGGGAGCAGACGGAGAGGCAGACTTGGAAATAGAAGCAACTGTGAACCGATGTTGGCGAGGTTCTGGCAACCTGGAGGGAGCCCCGGGCCTTGCTGCCTCTCCCTGCTCCGGCAGCCACCTGATGGCTTTGTCCCTGCAGCTCCCAGCCCAAAGATAAGGGCCACCTGTCTGAGCCACCCATCCCTCAGGCTCCTGGAATCTATCATTGAAGTCAGGCTGTTCAAGCAGCAGAAATCACAAGCCCCATTTCCTACATGGCACTGGAATCCTGATCATGGAGCATCACAACCAAGGGGAAGGAAGAAACAAAAAGCAGCAAAGGAAGAGCCTGACTAGTTGTAAATATGCAAGCACACCGGGGAAAAGTCCAAGCTGAGCAAGTTTGAGCAAAACACTAACTGGGGGGAGAAAACTTATTTTAAAAGATTGAAAAAGAACTAGTAAGAAATGCTAGTCCTAGCCAGTTTGCTCAGTGGTTAGAGCGTCAGCCCGAGGACTGAATGAAGGGTCTCGGGTGCGATTCCAGCCAAAGGCGCATACCTCAGTTGCAGGCTCGATCCCTGGCCCCAGTCGGGGCACATGCAGGAGATGACCAATCGATGTGTCTCTCTCACATCGATGTTTCTCTTTCTCTCTCTCCCTTCTACTCTCTCTGAAAAGCAATGGAAAAAATATCCTTGTGTGAGGATAAAAAAAAAAAAAAAAGTTAAAATTTAAGTGAGTTTGTAGCATGACAGTGAGAAAATTTGGGGGGGGGGGAATGGTAGGAGACACACACACACTCATAAAACTAAGCCAACCTAAATGAAAAGGTCCACTCAGTGCCCATTGGGTGGATTCCTAGTGAGCCCACATTAACTTTCCAGGGGATTAGGAATTTCCACAAGGCCTGTGGAAGAGAGGAACATAGGAAGTGCCACAAAGCCCTTAATCTCAAGCCAGTTGGCAATCATGGTGCAGTCCTTACTCAGTGACCACCTGGTAGAAACTGAGAATTTTATCATCCAGTGTAGGAGACCCAAGAATCAAAGATTAGATGCTAAAGCAGGCATGGGATATTATCAAAATGCCAACACATCTAGCATGATGGGAAAGCCTGAAACTTATGGCACGTGATTTTGTTTATTTCTGTGGTGGGAGCAGACATCAAGAAAGTTGAATGTTTGCTCAGGCAAAAGCATTTAAATTCTGATCAGTGTAAAGTAAATATGCAGGCTGACTGACTCTCAGTGATCCTAGCAACTTACCTTACCCGACTCTCCTGCAACAACCCAGCTGCCCTGGCAGAGGACAGGCCCGTCGCCATTATACACGTTTATTTCTGGCATTGTACTTCCAGACGTGCTTGCTGTCTTCAGGCATTTCCTGGCTGACCTGAAGAACTGCCCTCTTGACTGACTTTGTTCCACTTCTCCATGGTCTCTGGCCTCCGGTCTCTGCCTTTGAACTTTGTACGATTTCTTATTGGGCCAGCACAACGCCCAACTTGCAACAGGCACCGATAAATGTTAGTCTTGCTTCTATCAGATCTCTGGCAGGTTACATTTTTTGGTCTTTGCTTCTCCACTTGTTCCCTTGCTTCTGCTGCCCTCTGGTGACAGCTTGAGGCTCTGCCCCCTTGTGACTGCTCTCACAGTGACTGTTTCGGAATCAGATGGCTGTGATTGTAAAATTCCGGCACTTTTCCAAACCTTACCTGTTCTCTTGACTCAACTGTTTTGTCTCATCTACTGTTTTTGAGAGGAAGCTGGAGCTGTGTATATGAACTTTCCAATTCTAACTTTCTATAAAGATACGATGGCTGCAAAAAATTGACTGGGTCTTCTTTAAGTTAGGTGATAACAGCACCATGAATAAAATGTATCTATTAAAGATGCTACAGGATAGATGTGAAATTTGGAAAATGCTAGGACTGTCATCTCCACTCCATCTCAGACACCTTATAAGCTTGTAGCAGGAAAAAAAAGAAGAGGCGATATGAAAAAGAAGGAAAACATTTTTGTTTTGGCAAAAGTATAAAGAAGCAAAACCTGAAAGGGGAACATGGATGCAGGTAGTTTCTTTGGGAGGCAATTGCAGAAATAAGGAGTGTGATATTGGGAAGCATTAGAGAGGGCAAGTGGGGGAGCCACATACAGCTTCTGCAGGGGCATCCTGGGAAGCAGGCAGAGACCTGCCAGACTCGTCCACCCAGAGGACAAGAGGCTGGAACATTTATCCGCCAGCTTCTCCTATCCATTGAAGATTGTCTTCAGGAGTGTCAACTCCATCCTCACTTATGGGCTGTCCTGGCATGCAAGCCAACCAGATTCCTTGACTTTGACAAAGGTCCTGAGGCAAAAGCAGAAAGGTGGATGCGTGCCCTTGACGTGGGACTCAGTCAATACAAGTTGCGTGCGAGCTTGCTAGGACTACACACCAGAACTATAGCTGAAATCAACGCTGAGACAGTGTTCACTCAGAACCTTCCACCACAACTGAGGTTAAGACCAGGGAAGGACAGAAAGGATATGGCAAGGATCATCAGATGTGTCTGCTACAGACCCCACAGTTCTATATCCTCAGCGTAAGACTGAACCAGAAATAAACCCACCTTCCAGATCACTGGAAGGAGCAGAGAAAGGCTCTCTTGAGAATATAGAACCATAGCCCACATGGAGGTCTAAGGCCTGAATTCATGCAAACTGGTTAGTCTGAAACCCCTCATGTCAAAAATTTGGTATAAAATGTCCCTGGCTGATAAAGTCACAAGGCTCTCAGAAGAATCATTTATAAATTTCTATGGAGAAAAGCAACTTCAATCCAGCCCTCAAAAAATTCCCATAGATAAGATTCCAAGGACTGTAAACTTAGAGCAAAAAGAAAACAAAACACAAAGGAAGAAGGTACCACCAGTAAAAGCTGGTGGAAACAACATGCAACAGAAAAGCACCCACGAAGGCATCAGACATTGAACCTATGAGATGTGCTAGGTATCTTCCATTTGCTCTCGGGGTTCACTCTCCATCTTTCCCCATCCCACTCAGCGCCCCGCGAGGCCGGTCTGCGTGAACACTATCCGCATTTTCGTTTGCTCATTGGCTGCCAGTTCTGCAAATACAGCCACTGGCAAGAGATGAGCGGGAGGGAGGAGAGTGAGGCCCAGGTGTTCATTCCCGCAGCTCTTGGATTCCTTTCAGCGTTGTTTTCAGTGTGCAAGTCTTTTCACCTACGTGCGTTAATTCTTGAGTATTTTATTCTTTCTGCTGCTAAATGGAATTGTTTTCTTAATTTCCTTTTGTATTTTTCATTGCTGGTATATAGAAACACTACTGATTTTTGTGTGTTAATCTTGTATCTTGCAACTCTACTGAATTCATTTATTAACTATAATAAAAACTTTTATGGTTTATTGCATTTTCTACATACAAGATTATGTCATCTGTGAAGAGATATTTGAACTTCTTATGCAATTTGGATGTTTTTCTTTCTTTCTTTTTTTTCTTGACTAATTAATAGTTCTGGCTAGAACTTCCTGTAACACGTTGAACAACAGCGGTGACCATGAGCAAGGATCCTTACCTTGTTCCTGATCTTAGGGGAAAGGTTTCAGTCTTTTACCATTAGGTGTGATGTTAGCCGTGGGTTTTTCATAAACGCCCTTTAACATTTGAAGAACTTCCCTCCTATTCCTGTTTTGCTGCATGTTTTTATCATGAAAAGGTGTTGAATTTTGTCAAATGTTTCTTCTACATCAATTGAAGTGATCAGGTGGGGGTTTTTTTCTTTGTCCTATTAATGTGTTGTATTACATTGTTTTCACATGTTGAACCACCCTTGCATTCCTGGAATAATTCCATTTGGTCATGGTGCAAAATCCTTTAATATGTTTTAGGATTTAGTTTTCTAGTATTTTGTTGAGGACTTTTGCATCTATATTTGTCACTGATACTGGTTTGTAGTTTTCTTTTTTGTGGTGTCTTTGTCTGGCTTTGGTATCAGATTAATGCCGGCCTGATAAAATGGGTTAGGAAGTGTTCTCTTTTTTTCTTTTTGGAAGAGTTCGAGAATGCTTGATGTTAATTCATTTTTAAATGTTTGGTGAAACTCACCACGAAGCAATCTGGCCTGGACTTTTCTTTGTTGGAAGGGTTTTGATTACTGGTTCAACCTCTTTACTGGTTATAGGTCTGTTCAGGTTTTCTGTTTCTTCTCGAGTCAGTTAGGCAATTCGTGTCTAGAAATTTGTTTATTTCATTTAGGTTGGCGTAAAATTGTTCACTGTATTCTCTTATAGTCTTTTTAATTTTTTTTATTGTGGAAAGAATACTTATCCTGAGATCTACCCTCTTGACAAGTTTTTAAATGTACAGTATATTATTGCTGACTGTAAGTACAATGTTGTACAGCAGATCTCAAGAGCTCATTCATCATGCTTGACTTTATGCCCATTGCTTAGTAATTCCCTGTTTTCCCCTCTCCCAAGCTCCTGGCAACCCCCATTCCACTTTTTGATTCTATGAATTTGACTATTCTAGATACCTCATGTAAGTGGAGTCATGCAGTATTTTCTCGATGGGCTTATTTTACTTCGCATAATGTCCTCCAGGTTCATCCATGTTGTTGCATATTGCAGAAGTTCCTTCTTTTTAAAGGCTGAATAGTGTTCCATTATATGTGTAGACCACATTTTCTTTATCAGTTCATCTGTCAGTGGCCATTTAGATGGCTTTCACATCTTAGCTATCTTGAATAGTACTGCAATGAACATGTTTTCTTTCTGCTATTGAGGTCTAGTTCTATTTTATTGTGATCAGAAAAGATACTTGGTATGGTTTTAATCTTCTTAAATTTGTTAAGACTTTGTGACCACACATGTGATCTATCCTGGGCAGAATGGAAGCTGCTTCTCACTCCAGAGCTTCATGCTCCAAATCTCCCCATGGAATCTGGCTGAAGCTAGTCTCCACTATGACCACATCCTTGCTTAGTTTTTATATTTCCCCGTTGTAGCCTTACTCTCTGTCCTGAGAGCCTTCCTTCAACAAATTGCATGTACCTGAATCTCTTTCTCAGACTCTCTTTCTAGGAACCTGACCTGAGATAAGAAGAAAACTGATGATGCAGTAGATAGAGAACAAAAGCAGGGACACATAAACAAGTAAACAAATGCCCTAGGTATCCTCCACACCTGCCTCCCCAATCCAAAAAGTCTTTTAATACAACCCAGTTCTGTCCTTTCATAGGAAAATAGTCAGATGAGTAAGTGAATGACATCACTTAGACTTTCTAGCTAGGGACACAGCTAACTTTAATAAAACGTGTCCCACTATAACAGAACACACTGCGATAAGGTTAGATGAGAAAGTAATTTCCCCCCCATTTAGGTGTGTCTGCTCCCTCACCAGCTGCTCCAACCCCCCAATATTCTCAAGCACAGAGAAGCAGACACAAGAACCTTCTCTCTGGCTCACAGGGTGCTTTGCTCATAAATCCTTCCCATTCTGTGTCCTGGTTATAGCACTTCTCTGGGACATTATATTCTTTTCTGAATCCCCAGCTCCAAGTACAGGGCCTGGCACCAGATCCTCAAATAACATAGATTTGTTCAATGTGCTTTTGTTATAACATTGATGCGAGGGTGGGGGGCAAAAAAACACCTCTTTGCAGCCAGGGCCACTGTCTGTGCGGAGTCTGCACCATCTCCCCACGTCTGTATGGGGTTTTTCCAGGGACTCCAGTTTCCTTCCACATCCCAAAGATGTGCACGGAGGTGAACTGGTGTGTCTACACTGTCCCAGTCTGAGTATGGGTGTGAGTGTGAGTGTGCCCTGCAATGAATGGGCCTCCTGTCTGGGTGAGTCTCCCCTTGCACCCTGAGCTTGGAGAGAAGCTTCGGGCACCCAGCCCTGAGCTGGAGAGTAGGCAGGTTAGAAAATAATAATCCTACTTGTTTTTATTAATATTTCTTATATGTATGTAGAGTTCACATTTTTTCCAAAGTTCAATACTGTAAGTGTTTTAAGGGTGTGTGTTTAGAAGTTTAGTGATGTCTTTGTGATCAGAAATATGCTGTAGAAGCTCCACTCTTGCTTATGGCATTTAGCCTCTGGTAAAATTGGCTCCTCTATACGTGGTTTCCCTTAAAGGCGGTTTCCGAGAGCCCATGGGGAGCCGTCACTGAGGACTCCGTTCTCTGTAAATAAGCTACAAGCGAACGGGGAAGGCGGGGAGAGCGCGGAAAGGGCGGGAGGCGAGACGGGGCGGAGGGAGGAGCCTGCGCTCTGAGCTGCGGAAAAAGGGGTTCCAGGGACCCGGGCGCCCCAGCGGTTGGCAACAAGAACCACGTGAAGAACTGCCGGGCGCACGGACTTCCCGGCCACGCGCGGCCCTGGGCGGTGGCCTCTGGAGGGCGGAGGACCTGACAGCCGTCCAATGAGCTGACTGGGGGACCGGTCAGCACAGCCCCCGGACCGGCTCCGCGCCCGGAGGAAACGCCCGCCCCGCGGCGCTGCAGCCCCGTCGAGCCTCGCCTGGGAGCGCAGAGCCCGGCCACCGGGGGGACAGCTGCTCAGGGACTTGGGACCCCGGGCCTCGGTGCACGGACTGCTCAGGGACTTGGGACCCCGGGCCTCGGTGCACGGACTGCTCTTGGGCATAAGGCGACCCCGGGGCCTCGGTGCACGGACTGCTCTTGGGCGTAAGGCGACCCCGGGCCCTCGGTGCACCGGCTGCCCTTGGGCGTAAGGCGACCCCGGGCCCTCGGTGCACCGGCTGCCCTTGGGCGTAAGGCGACCCCGGGGCCTCGGTGCACGGACTGCTCTTGGGCGTAAGGTCCTCTGATTCGCCCGAGCGGGCTTCCTGGGACGGTGCACGCGACAGATTGGACGCCTTCAGGAGGGACAAGGGTGAGTCTGGAG